ATATTTACCCAGTTTTGGCAAATTTAGTCCACATATCCATCACACGTTTACTCAAATCCACGTCTTTGGGTAAATAACCAGGTCTAATGAATGGCAGTCCAAACACAAATGGTATGTCCATTCCGTGGCAAATGCCCATGGTATTAATATCACATTTCATAAATGGTGCAAAAGCTTCACTTGCATCGCGAAGTTGATAAAAATAAACTCTATGCGAGTCTTTTATAGCAATTGCAAACTGTTTGGCAAACGTATAGGTGGGACAGACCACTATAATATCACCCGTCAGACCTGAAAAGGCGTATCTCAAAAATAATGACCATGAGCTATTTTGGTGATAATATTCGGCTATTTCCTGGATTTCTATTCCGTGATACATAACATCCAATGCTTTAACGCCTGCCATAAAGTCCTGAAGAGTCATATTATCTATATTTGGCACAAATCCGCTAATAAAAACTGAGCCCTCGTCCCGAGTGACACCCGCCATGAGATCGATATCTATATTCATATTAATAATATAGTAAGGATCGTATGTATGCCGTACAACAAAAATACTTTTAAATTTAAACCTGAATTAAATTTGTTGTCTGCAAATGCTTTTTGTGCAGAAATGGGCAGAAATTGATTGCCTAACACAGGAAATGTAGGATTCTTTGAATACATTGACAACTCGTTTGCCTTCACTTTTCGCAGACATTGCAACCAATCCTCGGTTTCGCTACAATTCAGACGTTTTGCTAATTGCTTGGCATCGGATAGGGCTTCGAGTTTACTGACAACATCCCTGTCCTTATTATACATATGAGCCCCACTTTGCATAATAGCCCTCTTGAATAAGCCTTTCGACAGGGGAGAGAGTATATGTGCAGACACGGACCAACTGCCGGCATCCTCACCAAATATAGTGATCTGATCCCTGTCCCCACCAAATGCATGGATATTATCTCTTACCTATAATTCAATTATTGTTATATTAATAAACAGTAAATAAAAAGTAATTAAAATAGTAGTAATTTTATACCCATTTGAGAGCCAATAACTGGTCATAAAAGCCTACATTTCCGGGTGCGTCCTCCCTGTCCCCATACAAGAAGCCAAACAGACCTAACCTATAATTGGTGGACACAATCACTACATCATGAGTGGCCAAAACACTTCCGTCGTAATAGTCTTGAAATACAGAGCCCAACACGAGAGCCCCTCCATGTATCCAAAACATGACCGCTTTTGACTCATTGGATGGACTACTGGGTGACCATATGTTTAGTACCAAACAGTCCTCACTGGCATTTAACCCAGGTACAACCGGAATTATTGTTTGCATACACGAGTGTTTAGGTTTTGTCGCGTCTATTATGTCCTTTAAATATAAAAGTATTAAAATTGGTTTAAAATTTTATTTTAATTTCTATTAATTTTTTATTTAAGTAATACTTACAGGCAATGGATCTTTAATAGGTTCTGGTTTTGCAAACCGCAAGCTTCCTAAAGGGGGGACGGCATATGGTATGCCTAAAAACTGGTCAATACTTTTATCCAATAGCTTAATTGTTTGTCCCCGTACCAAACCAGATGTTGTGTTAACATCGACACAGTTTATTGATTTAGATTTAACTGTGCTTATTATAAGTATAATTACAAACTCATTGAAATTCATAATTATGTTAAATAAAAGTTTTATTTTATCAAACTAATTGCATAATAATATTTATGAATACACAGTGTTTGGTATTTATACAAAAAATTTTAATGATATAAATTATCAATTACACATTTAGATAATCAATAGCATTTTCTTAGTATTTATTGCGGATATAATATTATTTCACATAAAGTATGCTGGGTGTGGTATTTTGTTATTATATTCATTACTTTATATATTGTTTATAATTTTAATGAACATGCACGTCTATCCACTTTAACTCAAGCAAAACTATCTAATTGTGAGCAAAGCACGAGATTATTAAATAATCAATGAAGCGTATAAAAATTGAACAAACACAAAACTCATATAATTTTATAACAACTGACCCTGATGGGTATGTTCGTAAAATATCTGTGTGTTATAGATAAGGGATTAGAGTATTGTATGGGAAAGAGTTTCGAGTACCATTAGGAAAGGTAGATAAAGTGGTGAATAAATAATATAATTTTTAAATAAATCCAATATTTACAGTAATATTATTTAAATGTGTTCAACAGTTTACAAATAATTTTATTTTACATAAGGAATTAATTTTTTGTTACAACTAGTCATGTTAAATTAAGATATTAAAATTTTAAACGTATTCATACACAGTTATTAATTAATTTTTGACATAATAAGTCATGCAAAAATATTTGTTTATAATTGAATTGAGCTCTAAATGAAATACACTTTGCAATATTGTTATTTATAACAGATTTTAAGTCATACATATTTTTGTCGCACACAATAGCATTAAATCCAGTGATTACGTCAATTACGGTAAATATTTCAACGATTTTCTCAACTTTCAAGCCATTTATAAAGTCTTTTAAATTGTCAATATTTATGCCACAAATACTTAATACATGTTTACTGTGTTTTTAAAAATTTGATATTTAGTTAAGGGTTCAGGGTTCACCCATAAAATATATGGTGACTATACTTACTGTCGGATAGTCCTACGAAACAAGTTGTGAGCCGTGTTCCCAATGCTATTAATAGCGTATGTCGTAAGCATTTTGTGATCGTACATATCGGTGCTCAGGGTAAATCTTTCTATATCGTGTAAAAGCATATACCTACCATTCCTAGGTGTAGGTGCGATAAGTATATTGTTAGGTCTAATAAGGGTATGAATAAACTTATAGCCTGTTTGGTGTAGATATTGAGCACATTGCAGGAGTTCTCGCATTAATTCACACGATATGTAGAAATCAATGCAAATCATTAGAAAAGAGGTCTGGGTTTTGAAATATTTGTGTTTTTCAATGAGAATTGTTTTCAGAGTTTGTGAACATATTTCCATTTGTATGAAAATATAGCGATTCTCGAGCCACGAGTTGTAGTATTGTACCAAATATTCTGTATGATTGTCAATGCGATTCCGGATATGTGTTACGTGTCCATACAATTCTGTTAAACTGTCTACAGTATATAAGTTTGGTTATTTACCATGTTGATAGTATTACTTGATAGTATTTACTTGATAAATGTTTAATAGGCATTTTCGATTTCAATATTTAGTATTTATTAAACTTACATGGTGCATCAAACTTTAATATCGTATATATTTCATTATCATCTTCATTTTTCGCTAAATATAATGGAGCACCTGGATACTCATAAATCTCAGTGAGCTTTGTAAATTTTGATTCATGCAATCTAGTAATTGTGCTAGATTCTAAAGTTATAAAATAACATGATAATTTTTATAAAATAATTTTATTTTACAAACCTTCATTTAAAAGTTGATTTAATTCACCAAGATTACACAGTGGATTGCTTTGCATATATTTCTCGTAAAACAACTGATTATTAGTTATAAATATATTTTTAAGCATGATAATATCATTATCGGGAATATCAGGCTTAATTACTAATGGATGTAATTGTGTTAAAATGTCCGCACATTCGGGTCTATCGTTATAATCAGTTGAACCATGTTTTGAGTATTCATTGACAGCCATTGATAGCAATAAATTGTATATATTTTGTAAAATATTTTTCAAATCACCATCGTAATTCCCAAAACCTTGAATACTGTGTTAAATAGAAATTAGTAATCTTAATAAGTGTTTGGGTTAAATAATTATATTAAAACAAAATAAACATTTAAATATTGCTTTAATATAATAGTAAGTATGCTAGACAGTACTATTCACATATTGTATGTCAAAGCAAAGTATAAATGTCCCTTTCGTTTAAATATTCTATTAGCAATATTAATATATCCTATTTTGGTATATTAAAACATACTTTCCATTAACTAGGTCCTTTTTATTGAAACCAAAAATCTCGGCCCCAATGATAGCCAGACTATAGATATCTATTAAATGATTGTAGTCATCGCCCATAGCTTCCGGTGCCTGATATCTAGCGTCTCCAACATCTTCAGACA